TACAGACCTCGTTGTTAAAAGTTCAGTAATTTCATGCTATGAGTTTATTTATTTTCAGGTATGGCGCTGATAAGTGTATTTATAGATGAATCCATTCTTACGAACGGTGAGAGTGAGCCTTCTTTCTTTAAAATCATATCACATGGTCTACTTCTGCTCACATCACTCAAGCATTGAGATCTATTTTGACCGCAACTATCACATTTTAAAAGTTTTAGACCACAAAAAATTCACTCTAATCACGGAAATTATTAGTTTTCCCTCAATTTCTTCAGCTGCTGTTTCCACTCGGCAAATTTGCGCTTCAAAGCCCCCAAATTATTCAACTTCCGGGGTACATGCCGTGTAAAAGCTTTCCCTAAGGATCAGCCAGACTTGTGAACACGCTAAGTACAGTGGGTGAGTCAACTCTATCTTTAGCGACCACCCTTGATGCAAAAAGAGTTGAAAAGAAGAAAAAACAAAATACAATACTGTATAACTAGCAAGCCACAGACCGATCAGATCTGCAGATCATCACATTAGCATATCTTATATCACATCACATTAGTTTAATTGAACAAATAAACAGCATCAAAATGTATTCGGAGTGAGCTGAAATTCCTCAGAACGAGGCCTATTACTTATTCATTCTTGTTTGTTCTTTTTTTTGTGAAAAATGTGTGCTATTCGGCATTTGTTCCTCGTCGAATCTCTTAAAAACAGGTTATCAATAAACACATTAATTTTAGTCCCATTGTTACATAATTGGATGCTGCAGAGATTTAACCCCATCTCGAGGATGGTCACTTATCGGAAACACGAAAGGAAAATGATGTTTCAAATTTTTGTACACTAAAATGGTTGCAGACGCTCAATAAATTTGAACAATGGTCGCCTAGGAGCGAAGTTTTGGAACAGCATCTGCCTAAAAAATGAAGGGATCATTCACAAAGTGGTCATTAGACATAATTGACCATTTCAGTCACGATTAAGTTGTCTTATCATCATCCTTGTCATTTTAGCTCATTATCAGCATTAACCCTTTGATCTCGAAGAGTGACTAGCATCCAATTTCTCCTTAAAGATATCACCACTGAATCACACATTTAGGTCATTAGAATAAAGGAAATGATCACTAACTAAAGAAGCTCTTGATTGTTAAACAAATCTCCTTGTTGGCTTCTTAGGGTATACATAGAGAACAGTATGGAGAATATGTACACTGATGTTAGGGCGTAAAGGGTAAAATTTTTAAAAAACTTGCAAATAACAATATCGATCGTCATTGTATTTTAGACCTCCGCACTGTGGCAAATAAAAGAGGCCAATTTTCTTTTTTATCCTCTTCGCGTAAGAACGTTTATTTTGAAACTGACATAATTTCTGTTATCTTCAGGGACTAAAACAAAGGAGGCTTGCTATGATACTTCCTTTGACGAAACCTGTGGGGTACTTAATGGAACACATAGAACAGTTAGGGATGTCGACTGGAAAGCACATGACCCGAAAAATGATAAATGGACTTCGTTCGGATACTGTAACGGGCAATTGAAATGTGAGATAAAAAGATCACTTTTACCCAATGGAATCAAAGTTTTGAAAGTTGCGAATGCCACCATAACGCTACAAGTATCATCAAAGACCAACAAAGACGGTCAGAGCCGGTTACGCTGTAGAGTTGATTTAGAGGGTCACACATCCTCGCCTCACGAAGTGATTATCAAATTTGTTTATTGTAAGTGAAACACCTTTAATTTTTTGCTCTTGAGATGACAGGGCAGCGTAAGATGTAACGACAGTAGATTTTTTTAAAACTTGAGGACCGGTTTTTTGCAAAGGGAAGAGGAGAAGTGGGGTCGGAGAATTTTGGTTGTGAAACGATAAAATTTCCCTGATTCCCCATGAGATTATTTAATTTTATCTTGAACCCCATCTTTGGCAGTCATATTCTATAGAAGACAACTTATCCCCCCCACCGTTCCCCTGGAGACCAGATGATCCTTCCCAGAATCCTACAATCCCCTTCCCCAAGGGCGATGAGTAATGACTGGTCCCTTAACAGCTGCTTCCTGCATCAAGCCTCTTCTATAAATTCTGCTCTTTTTGTCGTTTTGAACTCTTAACTCCCAGAAGTGATTAAAATGTAAGTTCTTCCTATAATAACCTTGCAACATTCAGCAAACCGGTAATGATAATACTCATACTCATCAGGTAGAAGTTTTTATCCTGATCT